GGGTAGTTTTACATTCTACACTACACGCAAGTTCACCCCTGTAATTATCTCGGGGTATTTTTTGTTTCCACATTAAATTGAGGTCACCCCGGTTTCGCCCCACACTTGTCCTGGGATAAACGGATGGTGTTATAACCAGGGAAAAATGCAAGGTATTGTGTCACGAGTTGAACTCTGATAAAACCAGGGATGAGATCCAAGTGCAGAAAGGACCTGTGATAAAGGGTGACCTTGGGCAAGGGAAATTCTATCACAGGGATATTGTGGGGGATAAAACCAAGAAGGGAAAACAGTGTATATCTTGCAGGAAGGGTAAGGTTAAAAATGTTCTACCTTGATTTCTCTCGCTTTGGATGTTCCACTTGGAAACCAGTAGCAAAATGGATCTAGACATATTGACCACAGCTCGGAGAAGGGGGAAATGAACTCTCTTTGGGACGGCCCGTAAAAGGAAGAACAAAGGTACACTTTCGGATTCTAGATTTATTTATTTATTTTGCTCCTGATTTCTTATAAAACATGCTTTTAGCTTACATAAAAGGATGCCGGAGTGAAATTGCCTTGCACATTTATCCCTGCTCGGCGCCATTGTCACGCTCGATTAAGCGGACTCGTTGTCATTGGGATCAGCAATAGAGGAGGCAATTCCCCCTTCCCGTTAAGGCAAGGTCTCCAGACCTAGACTTATCGGTCATCTTGACGCTCATTCCTGAACGGGCGGGAGACGTTCAAAAAGAAAGAAGGCCTTGTCGATCTATCTACCGACATGAAAAAGAGCTCTTTTAATGGGATGGCCAGGAAACGCCGAGCTGTCAGTTGAAATGTACTGGCATTCTCAAAAACCTTTAAGGTCTTGGGGCTGACTGCTAAGATCTTTTCAGTTTGAGTCAGACGTGGGTTAGCTCAGTGGGGACAAACATGGACACATGAAGCCGCCTCACACGGAATCAGACCATCGGCCCATCAAGGTCGGTATTGTCTGCTGAGACTGGCAGCAGCTCTCCAGGGGTCTCAGGCAGAAGAGGTCTTTCATATCACCTACTACCTCATCCTTTCAACTGGAGATGCTGGGGATTGAACCTGGGACCTTCTGGATGCTAAGCAGAGTCTCTCCCCCAGGGCAG